AGACACCCAAAAAGCTACAATTTGGTATGCAGGTTGCAAATTTACAATCTTTAACATCTACAGCCCCCCCAGGAAATGACTGCTCTTTTTCATTTCTTCAAGAATCGATATACACCAAAACAATAGTTGCGGGTGACTTTAATGGCCACTCTCCTCAGTGGGGATACAGAACATACAACAAAAGCGAAATGGCCATAGAGGAACTCTGTGGCACAACAAACCTCCTTGTTCTCCAAGACAAGAAATCTACCCCTACCCTTTTACACAGGGCTCACAACACACTCAGCAGGCCTGACTTGACCATCCTTTCATCCGACCTCTTCCATAGACACACCACAGAAGTCCTTGATGGCATAGGTAGCGACCACAGACCCATCATGACTTCGGTGTCGACCCCAAGCCAAAGTCACTTTGTACAAAAGACCAAGTGGAATTTTAAAAAGGCGAACTAGGAGCTCTACAAGACAACAACAGAAAAGCTCCTAGAAGATATTACACCAAACCCCTCTGTTGATGTCTTCTGTGGCGCAATAACAGATTCCCTGCTCAAGGCTGCAGCTCTCTGCATCCCTAGGGGTTGCAGGAAAAAGTACAAGCCTTTCTGGAACAAGAACATCGAACAAGCAGTCCAAGACAGAGAAAATGCTCGAATAACTCTTGAAAGCAATCCTACAACAGGAAACAAAATTAACTACAAAAAAGCCTCAGCTAAGGTCAAACAGGCAACCCTCTTGGCCAAAAGAAACAAATGGAGCACCACAGTTGCAGACCTTGATCTACGTAGAAACGGAGCCAAAGCATGGTCACTTCTCTCCAACTTGTGTGGAGAAAAGCGCCGAAACAACCCAAAACCCATGGACACAGAGGAAGGCACCATCGTAGAAGACCAAAAAAAGGCAGAAACCTTCAACAAGTTCTTTGCTTCTTTAAACAAAGCTACACACCACACTGACCAACTTAGAGACTGTCTGAAAAGACTGAAGGAGAAAGAGCATGCGCCAAATGCAAGCATCTCTCTCTTTGAAGATGACTTCACACTCACTGAGCTCAACAGCGCAATGAAGAAACTGAAGCCCCGCAAATCCCCAGGACCAGATAAGATTCTCAATGAAATGCTTGTCAACCTCAGTCCCGTTGGTAAGGGTTATATTCTCCAGCTGATCAACAAGACGTGAAATGAAAACACCATCCCCAGAGCATGGAGAAACGCCATCATCACACCCATTCTCAAGAAAGGAAAACCTGCTAAAGAAATGAAAAGCTATCGACCCATTTCACTCACCTCTTGCATTGGGAAACTGGCAGAGAGAATGGTCAACCACCGCCTATACTGGTGGTTGGAAACAACCGGTGCCCTGGACAGCAACCAAGCAGGATTTCGTGCGGGCCAACGAACAGATGACCAGCTCTTCAGGCTCAGCCAGAAAGTCCTTGATGGCTTCCAGGAAAAGAAGCACACAGTTGCAGTATTCGTTGACCTCCAGCAAGCCTACGACAGGGTATGGAGAAAAGACCTCCTGTGGAAGATGACACAGACAGGAATCCACGGGAAACTCTACAGATGGGTGAAGACCTTCCTTACAGACAGGACAATCCAGACCAGGATTAACAATGGTGTGTCATCCAAAGCTGTACTGGAGGAGGGCCTACCCCAGGGTTTCTCTCTGAGCTGCACACTTTTCCTTGTTTTCATCAACGACCTGCCTGAGACACTGAAATCAGAGAAGGCCCTATATGCCGACGACCTAGCCATCTGGCATACAAGTAAACAAGCTGGCATCAGTGCACGGCTTATAAATGAGGATCTAGATAGATTCAACAACTACTGCTGCAAGTAGAAACTAAAAGCAAATTGTACCAAGACAATCTACACCGTCTTTACAAAAAGCCACAAAGTTGCAAAGCAAAATCTCACCATCTTACTTGCAGGAAACAAACTAGAAAAAGTTGAAAACCCGACCTACCTTGGGATCGAGCTGGACAGACAGTTTCATGCAAAAATCATATCTGGAACCTGAAGACGAAGGCCAACAAGAGACTTAACCTTCTCAGACGACTGGCTAGCACTTCATGGGGAGCGGACAAGGATGCACTCAGACAGCTATATGTTGGCTATGTACGATCTGCCATGGAATATAACCTAACCTTACAGACAATCTGCAGCAAACCAACTCAGAGGTCTCTTGACAAAATTCAAAATCAAGCTGTACGATTTATCTCCGGAGCTTTGAGATCCACTCCAACTGCAGCTTGTGAAATCCATACGAACCTGGAACCCTTGGACTTGCGGAGAGAGGCAGCAGTTGTAGAGATGAGTGAGCGCAACAAAAAACTGGAGAAAAACCACCCAAACAGGAAAATAATTGAACAGAGACGACCAAAGAAACGAATTCTTGGAAGATCAATACTTGACACAGCCACTGAACTAGCAGAAAAACACCATCTTCCATGTAACAGAGAAATGCTGAAACCTTTAAGACCAGAACTCCCCTCAAACACTAACATCAAGAATGCCAACATCACAACTTCCCTCATAAAAGAGACAGTGAAAAAGGAATGTGACCCAGTAGAACTGAAGACAACAGCTCTGAAGACAATTGACTCCTACCCTAGTGATTCAATTCATATTTATACAGACGGGTCAGCCTTCAAGGGAACTATAAACGCAGGCTTTGGGGTAAGAATTGAACATCCTGACAAAACATGTGAAGAGCTATTTGATGCATGTGGTACTTCTTGTACAAATTACGAGGCTGAGGCAATCGCCATTGAAGCAGCAATCCTCCACCTGACCAACATTTTCATAATACATCCAAACAAAATCAAGAACACTATAATCTTCACAGACGGAAAGTCAGTACTCCAAGCCTTGGAAAACATGAATTTCGAAAGCCCAGCCTGCCTATCCGTGGCTCAAACAATCAATACGTTCATACAGATCTATGCCGTCGACCTGACACTACAGTGGATACCTGGCCACAGCAACATCCCAGGAAACGACAGAGCAGACACCCTTGCCAAGAAGGGAGCAACACAAACACAACCACACAACCCAGTATCACAACAGACAGCCAAGAACATCATCAAATGCAACACCAGGGAACAGTGGCTGAATGGATGGGCAATGGGCAAAACTGGAAGAACTGTATTTGCACACATGACAGCCCCCAACTCTAAAGATGCAATAAATTCCCTGAGTAGAAGAGAACAAGTCACGATATTTCGCCTGCGAACACAACACATACCACAAAATTCCTACCTTAATAGGATCCGCAAGGATACCCCACCCGACTGCCCGTTGTGCGACTGCCAGGATGAAACAGTACCACACCACATCTTTAACTGCCCAGCACTTTGTTATCTGCGTAGCACCTACCTACCTGCCTCACCAGATATCGGAAATACTCTATACAGCGACAAAGCACAGCTGATTAAAACCTGTCAATTCTTTGCCATATCGACAGACCGAAGGGCTAGAACCCAAATGGCCGCTGGATCTGAATAAGTAAAAGTAAAGTAAAGTATGTCTTAATCTAGTTTAAAAATCAGAAAGATGTGTAAAATAAGAAGAAAACTTGTCCAAGTAACATAAAATTATCAAACAGACCAAATTATAAAGATAATCTTTCAAGATGCCAAAATATTTAATTATTAGAAATGGATAAGAATATACTTTAAAACTGAATTTAAGATATTATGATTGCATAATTCTAGGCGTGTGCCATAACTAACTTTATGTGTAAGGAATAGCGAAAACAACAGAGGGTCGATGCCAGCTTTATCTTATTGCTAACAGTATGTCTTGGTCTATAATTGATAATATTATTGATTACAATAATTTTGTTTCCTGGTTTTCACAAAGTAGAGCGCGCAATGATTTCAAATATTTAAAAAAAAGAGATAACAGCACCTTTGGAGGTGTGATCGCATGCATGAACGTGGATGAACTTTGAAGGTTTTTTTTTTTTTGTTTTGTTTGTTCAGTAAAGTATGATATATATGGAGAGCAGCGTTTTTAGTCCCTTATTACACTCCGGGGGTGGGGGGGGGGGGGGATAATTTATCTCAGTGATGACTCTTGTGTAGTAAAATTTGTTGTTGCTTTGACTTTGTTTGGTTTATTTTTTAACAGCAAAATCTTAAGTGAACCGGAATTATTGATTGTGGGATCTTAGGTGAAGACTACAACAATAAAATTAAACCGAGTATAGTTCTATCTAACAAGACTCAAACTCTTATCCACCCCACCCTACCCTCTCCCCTCATCTGATATGGTTTGGTGTTTCTTTAACATAGAAAATATTCATCATTAGTGTTGTAGAGTATTGATTTCATATTATAATGGAGCCTCCAGATATCTACTTTTAGACAACAGTAACATCTAATTTACACACACAAGGGAAAACATTATAAATGTATATAATATGTATATATACATACACACACATAAAAATTATATATATACACATAATAATTATATATATATAAGAATAAGAATATCTCGGTCTTTCTGCTGGGGTGTTGTATCCCTTTCAGCCTGGGTTGGCCTTGGCAGGTAGTTAGCGCCGGAGCCAGCCTCTTAATACTCTTATGAATGTTAATGATCTAAATTGTGTTGCTGGGGCCATAAAAACACTTTCATTCAAATTTTTTAAAAAGAAAACAACTTAACTGTGAAAACTTCGGTCCACTGCAGCATTATATCGGTTTTTACACTAAAATACAACACAGGTGCAAGGGATTTTTACTAATTGACTTGCCTAATCTCAAGGACCTCGGAATACAACCTTCTTTTTTCTAGATTTCAGTGCGTGAGTCGGGGATTCGCGCAGCGCAGGTAGACCACAGTTCCGCCGCGAGAGAGGGCTCCTATCAGGCGTGCGGTGCCGCCCACAGAGCATCCTCCATTACTTTTAATCTCCTTGATCTAAGTAGATCTAGATCTAGACTAGATTTTTAGATCTAGATATCTAGATCTAGAATAGATTAGATCTACTCACGTAAAACGGTCCAGGCACCTGCCTGACAGCGATACACTGTATTTCCTCCTTTCTTTGGTGCCAGACAAGCTGTGCCAGACTCAACAGAAGTCTGGTCTCCCTCACTCGTTGACTTGACCTGAGACAAATCAAAACTTAGGTTGAATTTTTAAAAAAAATTCAAAAAGAACAACAGCCCTAAAATAAAGTAACAAAACAAAGCAGGTAATATCTGAAGACACCAGTCCCAAAATTGGGGGGGAAATAAGAACAACTATGGTTTGACACAATTATTATTGTAAGACTATTCATGCTTCATGGGCATACTTCTTGAAAATTAAACTGCTGGTAGCCTAATAAGTCTCACATTTGTTGTTCATAGCACCGACATTTAGGTGACTTTTTTCATTACCAAACTACCTGTTCTCAAAATGGTTTTCATTTACATCTATTTATTACGTTTGTCTTTATAAAAATAATTTCTAAAAGTTAATTTCCTTTTTGCTCAACATATTATCATGAACAATAATCGGTGAAACAACATATGGTTTATTTAACACCAATTTTCATTTATACTAAAAATGTTTTGGTGTCCTTTTTGCAACCAACAATTTTACGCAAAAAAAGAGAAAATAGATCATAAATCAAGAGGAATTTTGCTTCGTATTACCGTAAAATCTGGGTTTTTATGTGTGTATGTGTTGTGTGTGTGTGTGTGTGTGTGTGTGTGCGTGTGTGTGTGTGTGCGTGTGTGTGTGTGTGTTTTAGTGACTAGGCCTGTTATTCAGTCTAAATTACAGACAGGAAAAGAAAGGTGACAGTGGAAACTATTTACCCCTTTAAAAGACGGCGCCCCAGGGTGCCGCGGATGAGGAAATTGCTTCTGGTAGTACGGTGGCCGGTCTGTCTCCATGACAACATCCTCTCTGTCTTCATCATGGAAGTCTTCATCCATCTCGGGCTGCGACTCGGACTCCATGGTCATGGCCATGGTGTACCCCACAGCTTTGCTTCTGTCCCCAGCCCTGCTGTTCGGTGAGCCCATGTTATCAAGAATATACTCGACGGCGGATGGGGAGAGGCAAAATTCTAGGTCCATTGATCGCCGAAGATAGCAGCCCTGAAAGTGAAAGCAAAGAAAGCAAAGCAATCTGGAACATTGTTCCGGGTGTCTGAAAAAGGAGGACCTATGAAATCGGTCATCTTGGAACCAGTTTCAACAAAACTTCGAGCGAATAAAATTCAACCAGGGGAATGGTACATTTATTTTTGTCAGTATGGAAAAAATCAACTAGATCTATCATATTATTCGAAAAATATCAAGTTTTTACATCTTTCAATCCAAATTGAGGGAATAGCAAACCTTTGCAACTTCATTTAAAAAATCAACTCTATTGTTCTATTTTAAATTATCGCTCTTTGTGCATTGAAGAAGAAATCTTTACAAATCGATATTGCCAAATAAACCCAGGGGGCGCTCATATGACCTTATGCAGTTGCGAGCGCCGTAAAACCCCATATTAAACTAAATCTCAGGGAGGTGGTGAATATTAATATTCCCCAAACAAGCTCCAGTATGCCACTGGAAAATTTAAATAACCCCATGGCATGTTTCTGGGTCGATTCTTTGACGTGGTGTGAGTTTCAACTATTCGGTTGTTGGTAGGTATCTATCGGAAAAAAGGCAAAATGTAGCCTGATAACTGAAGGAGCCTGAGTTTGGGAGAATGTCTCAATTGTAAACTTTCAGCTGATAAGGCGTTCCCCAAATCTTCCTTGCAACCATACCCAGGCCAACTTTGACATGTAGGATGTGGCTCCGTACTCCTGGAACCAGGCCTTGATGTATCGGGTAGCATAATAACACCTTCTCGCTCCCCAACTTCTCCAAAACGTTATCAGCAAAGTCAGATATTATCCATCCGATGTGAACGTCGTGGTTTAACCGTCTTTATCCTAACCAGAATGGGCTGATCACGCTCATGTAGGCCATATTTTTTAAAGCACCCTGAATATGATATAGCATGTATATAT